CCGGGAAACGGGGCCCCCCCCCGTGACCCCCCCCCGGTGCATCAGGCCCCCGCTCTCTCCTCCCCCCCCCCAGGTCCCGGCGGTGTCACCGTCCCCCGGGCGGGACTCAAGAAGTACGTGCTGCCCCCGGATTACAGCGGTAAGGGGGATGAACGGGGGGAAACAACCCCCCCCGGGGGTGGCGGGGGGGCACCCCTTGATCTGCCGCTTCCTCCCCGCCCCGTGACCCTCACACTCCCATTCCCCCGGTAGGTATCACCTTCCCGGAGAGGACGAAGCTGAAATTCATGGAGAAGGTGCCGGCGGTGCCCAAGGTCAAGCGGGAGCCCCGGCAGCTCCGTGACATCCGCGGGCCCTCCCGGGAGGCCACCGACTTCATCCAGGGACAGTACGGGATCCTGGTGAGTGGGACGGGGCCACCTCAGAGAATCGAATCATAGGCTGGAAGGGACCTCCAAAGGCCATCTAGTCCCACCCCCCCGCAGTCAGCAGGGACACCCCCAACCAGACCAGGTTGCCCAGGGCCTCGTCGAGCCTCTCCTTGAATATCTCCAGGGATGGGGCCTCAACCACCTCCCTGGGCAACCTGTTCCAGTGCTCCACCACCCTCCCAGTGAAGAACCCTCTCCTCATCTCCAGTCTAAAGCTGTTCCCCTCCAGCTTGAAGCCATTGCCCCTCGTCCTGTCACTGCAGGCCTTTCTAAACAGGCTCTCCCCAGCCTTCATGTAGAATCATAGAATCATTGAGGTTGGAAGAGACCCTTGGGATCATCGAGTCCAACCATCTCCCCTACTCTACAAAGTCCTCCCCTACACCATGTCCCTCAGCACTGCATCTAAACGGCCCTTAAACACATCCCGGGATGGGGACTCAACCCCCCCCCTGGGTAGCCTATTTCCAACGCCACACCACTCTTTCTGGGAAAAATTCCTTCCTAATGTTCAGTCTAAAGTCTAAAATTTGGCACCGTCCCACCTCTCCAGCCTGTCCAGGTCCCTCTGGGTGCCCTCCCTTCCCTCCGGTGCGTCGACCGCGCCACAAAACTTAGGGATTTAATTGAAAATATGGCTTTGAGACCTCCTCAACGAGGTCTCATTGAGGTCTTGTGATCACCCTCCCAAAAAAAAGACCATGTGAAGGTTGGGAGGGGACACAGGGCAGGGGACCTTCTGTCCTCCTCACCCTGCCACCGCTCGCTCCTTGAGGTGCCCCATCCTTTCCTCCTCCTCCCCATCTTCTCCACAGGCTTTGGGGGGTGGCTACCTCCACTGGGGCCACTTGGAGATGATCCGCCTGACCATCGGCCGCAGCATGGACCCCAAAACCATGTTTGCCATCTGGCGGGTGCCGGCCCCTTACAAACCAGTGACAAGGAAGAGCTTGGGCCACCGCATGGGGGGTGGCAAAGGCCCCATCGACCACTACGTGACGGCGGTGAAGAGCGGGCGCCTGGTGGTGGAGGTTGGAGGCCGCTGCGCTTTCGGGGAGGTCCAACCTTTCCTCACCCAAGTGGCCCAGAAACTTCCCTTCCCCGCCATCCCCATCAGCCGTGAGGGCCTCCAGAAGATGCGGGAGGAAGAGGAGGAGAAGAAGCTCAACAATCAAAACCCTTGGACCTTCGAGCGGGTCGTCACCGCCAACATGTTGGGGATGCGCAAATACCTCAGCCCCCACGACCTGCGCCTGAAGGGACGTTACTGGGGCAAGTTCTACCTGAAACACAGGGTGTAACGAGGAGCTGGGGGGGGGGGG